GTATTTTGTTTAAACTCGATGAAGTCTGCCTCGAGGGTTGCCAAATTGGTCTTAACAGTATTAATCAGAGGTCTTTCTTTAGGTGAATGGTTTATGCTGCTATCCAAAGGAATAGGATGATCATGATCATGTTGTTGAGAAGTCGCTGGTGTCTGTTGGTTGGTGGTTTTCTGAGAAAGTGTTTTGGCAGTAAAATTGTTAAGATTTTTTGCAGGGTTGCTTTTCATAAGGTCTGGGTTATTGATCAGTTCGATTAATATGGGGAATTCTTCACTACCCCACTCTTTCATAAAGCGACCTTGTATTTGGATTCTTCCTTTGTTGACCATAACAGTGATACCGACTATATTTTTTTCGTTTTCTTGGGATGTCAGGGTGATTGTTACTTTGTCACATTTCGTGGGATCATTCGGGTTGTTTTCTTCTTCCCAGTGGGTGATTATTTTGCGGTCATTAAGGAAGCCATGTTTGTAGCGCAGATGCATTGCTTTGATCCATATGGGCAGTCTTTCTTCGGTCGAAAAAAAAGCTACGAGATTTGCATTTGGGTGGTAAATTGAGAAATCTAATTGCTCGAGAGGTACACGTTTCATATTCGTGCCTTTAAAGCTGTCAACTTGATAACGGCTGATGTCAAATTTATCTTCTTCGACATTTGAGTCGATCGATGAAATGGCTTTAGCGTGTTCAGCCATATTTCTTTAAAATTCGCTGGTTTTCGTATAAAATATATTATTTCGTCAGATTTTGATCGATGCGAAGCTTTCTTCTAACTTTTATCTAGTATATTTCAATAATACCTGGTCAATCTGTATCGATAAATTAGCAAATATTCATTCAATAAACGCAGGCGCTACAACGCACGTGTTTACGAATCCGCCATCTTGGCTATAGCCTTAGATGCATAGAATTGATCTTGTGCAGTATTAAAATTCGAAAGTCAGAGCTCATGAACACACGTCCGTTCAGCTTGACAGCCTCTGGTTCTGATTTTTCTTGACAGCCTCTGGTTCTGAGTTCGGGTTTCTGATTTTTAGGACAGTTGGCATGTATTCCATACTGTATTTCCATATCACGTCACTGAACCTGGAACGGAATAAAAATTAGAAATGAAGAGCATTGGTGTGTACAAAATGCAAAACTGGACATGATATTCTTATACAGAAATTCAGCATTTCATGAAATACTTGGAATAACTATAGAGTCTTGCTCGTGATTTACTTAATGGGGAAAATGTAATTTTTCGTGGAATTCAACAATGCTCTGTCTTCGGACCGCTACGTTTTATTTTCTTCATCGATGACATAAAATATATACAGTTTTTGCTTTTGTGGGCAACATTAATGCGTCAGGAGTTCCTTTATCTTTAATCTGATGCTCCTAAATCAGCTTACACTATACTAGGGGAACATGATTCAATCATTCTTATACTGGGTGTCTAAAAAGAACGCTACGAAAATTCAACAGGCTGTCGTGCATCATAAATGTGGCTGAACAATACAATTTTTACATAGGACGAAAGAACAGTTATTTAGCTTTTCAATGATACACTTTTCAAATCGTAACGAGGAGAAATGGCCACATATTCGCCAAATAAAAATTGCCGGTCGAAATCACATTCTTCCACAGTTGGGAGTTGCAAGGAAAACGAACAATAAACAATTCCCAAGAGGGAATTAAAATTGAATGTTAAATTGTCTAAAATAAGCTCAACTCGTCTATCTTTGTCTCAGTGAGACCATAAAAAGTCCATTATTGCATTAAACTCGTTTCTATTAACCACTGAACAGAGAACATTCGTATCAAAACGTTTTACGAAACAAGTACCTTGCAGAGGGCTTGCGCTGCTTTTGGATTGATTAACTTTGCATAATTAATGTACTTTCAATTCCCAACGGTGGAAGAATGTGATTTCGACCGACAATTTTTATTTGACGGGTATGTAGCCATTTCTCAATTTTACGGTTTAAGAAAGGTATCATAGAAAAGCTAAATAATAGCTCTTTCGTCCTATGTAAAAATTAACTGTTTAGTTAAGTTTGTGATGCACAACAGTCTGTAGAATTTCCGTAGCGTTTTTTTTTAGACACACTGTTTTTATAAACAAGGTATATAAAGCTTTTACTATATACAGCAGTCTTAAAATACAAGTGGTTTACGTCTAGCCTCTAGGCTAGTTTAGGGACCGTTCATTAATTATAGATGAGGGGGCGGATGAAAACTAGGGGGCTCCAAAAAAGTTACCAGGAACAGGGGGGGGGGGCTTCAAAATATTTGTAAAAAAATCAAAGTGTATAAAAGAGAAAAACATCGCCACATACAAAAGTTTTCCAATTGGTTTCGTATGAACAGTAGTCAAGCTTTATCTATTGTTCAATAAAATAATGTCCGCTCAACTCAACTGTCAATCAGTTCTATATTATTATTCCAACGTTACACGCAGGAGTGGTCGCTTCCAGAAGGGGGGGGGCTTGAATAATTTTCTCGAGTAATGGGGGGGGGCATTTAAGGGGATGGTCGAAAAATATTTTAATAAATGTTTTGTTTTACTCCAGCCCACCTGTATGTATAATTACTGAAGGTCCCTTAGCAGAAATGGTGGGTGAGAAATTTAATTAATAAGTAAATATAATAATAATGATAATATAATAATTTATAAAGCGCTTTTTACACGTAATGATCAAAAGCGCTGTATTACAATATAACTAATGTTCAATATGGTAAGCAACACTTAAAAAGTGTAATAAAATGTTGAAATGTTAACTTTGATATAAACTAAATATTAAAAGCTTAAGACAAGTTTTAAAAACACTTATTGACGAAATGTCACAAAATTCTTTCGGAAGTTCATTCCAAAGTTTCGGAGCTGCCACAGTGAAAGATCGGTCGCCAAATGATGCAATCAAATTATGCAATCAAATATGAAATGCAAGCTTCATGCAAAACCACAAATAAGAACTTTTATGTGCAAAGGCATCAAACAAATCAACTGCATACAAATAAAATTTAAAAACTTACCAAAATTAAAAGGTCTATCCTCTGCATCGTTACAGTTTGTCGTCAATCCGATGTAGCGATCTATTCCTTGATTTTCAAGTAATTCTGGAATCTGTTTTAGGGACTGCGCACCAGGTCTCACCTGCAGCTTACCTGAAAACCCATTTGCGACTTACCTGGAAACTCACTTGCGACTTGCCTTGAAACCAACCTGCGACTTACCTGGAAACCCACCTGTGCCTTACCTGGAAACACACTATATATTATACAGATAAACCTCCCTACGAGGTCTGGTTTATGGCATGTTTCTGAATACAATTATATGAAGGATTTGTAGCAAGGAGCATATACAACATATCAACATTATGACCAATACCAGCCCTAAATGTTGCCTCGAAACATCCCTTTCTTTTCAAATTGAATATGGCACTATTATCACGAAACCGAGATCGAGCAGTTGGATCCAGACAGTTGTTGGAAAGTTGAAAAGAAAAGTTTCCTTAAGGCTCACCCGCCTGTAGTACGCTTGTGACTTTAATACACTTCCCTGTCTGCACATGTTTCACAAAGAAACAAGCAGCGCCTGAAACAAAACACAAAACTTAAATTAAATTACGAAGTAAACAATAGACTTTTGTTGCGTGTCTGCATGTGTGCTTCCGTTTATCCCCGAGCCAAAGGCGCGGAACGCCGTGCGAGCGTACTAATTCCGCCCGGCTATTTACACCCGGGGAAACGAAAGCATTAGCGAAGTCTAAAGTTCATCAATGATCGCGGGCGTAGGTCACTGGGCGTGGGTGGTCATCCTCACTGATCTGATCATAATATAGCGGACTGACATGAATAGTCAACACTGATTGGTCCAATTTAAAATTTGCATTATAACGACTGCATGACGACAGCGAAATAGCAAATAATTCTTGATTTGATGATTTCTCGGAAATATATTTCGTTTTTGCAAGATTTTGTAAATTTCAAAAGCTTTTTGATAAAATAAAGGCGCCGACGTCAACGATCGAAGTAAGTTTGTTTTAATTATTGCATGATGCATTGTCTGCTTTTATTTAATATACTGTAATTACTTTAAAAGCCGATCGTTGCGTATAACTATGAAACAAGACAGCATAATTATTTCAGTGTTTCTTTATTGATTACCCTTTTTATTATAATAAGCAAAGTTATTTGCATGCGAGAATTTGGAATCATTTTATTTCGAATTCAAACTTTATCGATAAAGGCAGTTTAGTTTAATATTAAAAGAACACTTTAAAACGTTTTGCGAAGCGTTTGTGGTTGAATTTTACCTTAAATTGAAGCTTATATTACGTATAATAACATACCTAACATTATATGTTTGGGAAATTGATAATTTTGTAATTAAAAGTGATATTTTTAGGGGATTTTTCATTTGTAAAAATATTCTTAAAAAATTATCGTGTTACCATGACAACTACTTTAGATACTTCATGTTCGGAGGGTTTCTGCATGCATGTATTTTCTGGTACTAAAGTGATGGGATAACTTTATATTTGAGTTATATGAAACTTTTATTAATCTGTGTGTGCCAGTCACTGGCTGACAATAACTGAAACTTTTTTGACTCTCTTGCATTTGAACTAAATGGATGACCCCATGTGGTCATCAAGTGAATAATGAAGGCACATTATTTAATAGATTACCCTAATATTTTAATTTAGAGTTGGGAAGACAGAATGCTGAATTAACAACCAAGAACATTGCATCACTCATGGCAGAGGATTTCCTTGTGGATTGTTTTTGCATTCGATGCTCCAAATGTATTAATAGTTGTCAGCTTTATTTTTTTCAAAGATCTTGTATTCAGAAATACTTTGAGAAATAAACTTGTGAATACTAATACTTGTCAAATTAAAGCTGTAAAATTTTATTAATACCTCAGTTGCTTACAGTCTTGACTACCGACTACTTACTAATGAAATGTTGATGCCAATTTACTTTTGTTCAGTGATTCCTCAACACTTACTCCCTTCACTATTACATAACCTTTACGTCTCATCTCCCAAGTGCTTCCTTGGCCTGGAAGTATTCAATCTTATGAAACAAGACAAAATGCTATTCGCTTACTGTCCTATTTTAAATTAGTGAAGACAAACAAGAATTTGAGGAACACTGCGAGACTTGTACTTCAAATGTTGATACGATTCAAGATTGCACATCCATTGCACTGCTCGTGATCCAAGGTCTCGAAAGACTGCAGCATTGTCAAGAAAAAGTGACTGTTCTTCTTCTCACAAAATTGCTAATGGGATCACCAACCATTGAGTTAAAAGCTCTTGCTTCAGATAAAGCTGCTGAATTTGATTTGGTTAAAGATTATTTTAAAACCAAAACAGGAAGAAGGGATTTACAAGCACTGATTTACCATCTGATAATTACTGGAATGGTCAGTGAAGTTCCTGTTGGTACTCCAGAAAACCCCAGTATTGTGATAAAGACTGGTAATGTTCAGAATCTTCAAAGTGGCAGTGAAAAGTGTTATTTTCACACATGCACAACCATTTTTAACTGGTGAAGGGACAGAGGCACACACAACAAGCTACTCTTATATCGTAGATAATGGAGATAGGCAACATCAGCTATCTTTTAACTGGAAACAAATATCTGCTTGTATACGTACATGCAAGTGTACAACTTGCGGCCATAACAATAAATATCATGTGCACAAAATATTTGCAAGGCCGGTTGTGCGAAGGCCGGACAGCGCTATCCACCAGATAGTGATTTTTCAAGCTTTGTTAAATTTGTCGTTGATTGGTATAACTAGTAGTAGTATTAAAGATTAGTATTTACAAGTTAAATGTTTTTTATACTTCTTCTGTCGTCTATATCCGTAGTTTCACACTTTTTCAAGCATTTTACAAAGGTTGAGAAAATTACTATTCGGTGCTGGTGGATAGCGCCATCCGGCCTTCGTACACCGGCCCCTAATTTAACTCGATTTTATCAAAAAACTATAGTAAATCATATGTATTTTGTTTTGATGAGTTCCCGAAATGACGTTACGCCGGCGCTAAAAGGCATTCTCGCCCCAGTATTTTCATGCTCACGATCAAGCGCTCAAAATAGGCAAAATCGCCAACTTTGAGCCCCTGAATGTCCATGAAGATCAAATTTTCGAATTATAAAATATATAATTATTGCAAAAGTTCTTAAAATCATCTAAACTATCTAAATAGGCTAATTCCCTGATCATGACATAGGCACTTTAAAAATAGCTGTATACATATATTGTTAGTTTAGGAGATCTCCTTTGAAAATCATCTAAATAATCCCAAGGTATAATCCCGTCTTTGTCCCATCTATGAATACTGTTATCACTGGGAACACTATCTGTTATCACCATTCACGGTTGTTTAATTCCCTGCGTGTATTTTATGCGAATATTTAAAAGCAGACAACATATTTAATCCATTGAATAAATTTAATGCTATACTATTTTCATACAGTGAACAGGCTACATGATATTTCATATATTTTCAATATAGGATACATGAATATTCGTTTCTTTACACTGTTAATAGTTAATGACAATGTTAGTTCACGACTTGATCTTGAGATGGCACGACTCGCTTCTTCTTCATTTGGCGATGCAAAATTTCGTCTTGAATTCCATCCTTCTCAACATCACGTTGCATCTTTGGTCTTCTCTCCACGTCCAAGTCTTCAGCGAAATCATCACGTTGCCATATCCATTTTGTTTTGGCCAAACACAGGTTGATGGTAGCGATCACGAAGAAGACCACGAGCATATTCTTATAAACTGCCATCACTTCTCGTTTTTGAAAAAAACTGTATCGTTAGCAAGTTTTTCTGCCTTTGTGTTCTCTTGAATTCAGTACAAGAATGAATGACGTGCTGGTTTTTAGCACTGCCTTTATAGGGCATGTTAAAATTGGTTTGGACAATGGACTAGCAGCTTTTAAGTTAGTATTAGTTTAATATGAAAAGGACAATTAATTCCTGAACGCGTCAAGGGTATCACCTTGGTCCCCTATTCTAGAAGAACGGCAGTCACGTTCGCCCTCTGTCTGGAGTGACTTTCGGTGACATACGTGTCAAGAACGTTGCTCGTGGGGATTAGAGGATGAGAGTATAGCTGTTCTTATTGCTTTCCCAGCACTATCATAAATTCTAATTAAGCTAAAACATAATTGGAACACTCATCAAACCTTTTTTTGTTAATTAATCTAGAGCTTGAAATATTTCCTTAACAATGCGTGACTGCCAACTCTCATCAAGTCTCGTTTGACCGTACTTTATGCCGGATATTTCCAGTCTTTTTGGATGGAAGATTTCTGTCTTCAAAAGAAGCAAACTTCATCACATGTTAATCGGTATAGAGATCCAAGGTATATGATGCTTGGCGGCCCGTTTCAGAAATTGAAGAAGTTAAGAAAATACTTTAAACATTTTTATGCACTGAACTTGATATTGTTATTAAGGTCACAGTAGGTGGAACCTTTATTTTGTTAATCTAGAGTTTGAAATGTCCCCTGTAACAATGTGTGACTACCAACTCTCATTATCGTTTGACCACGAGGGCCGTTTAAAGCTCAGATCTCTTGGTATGAGTTGCGAGTTCAATCCCGACAAGACTATATTGTGCAGCTCTTGTTATTGCACGACATAGTTTACTCATGCAAAATCCTCTAATAGTTAATTTGAACATAATCACTTACAGAAGTCACAACCTCCGCATCATCAACTTTTTTCCATGTCGTTCATGGCCAGAAATCACGGACATGATTTACTCTACTTCCTTCGTAATTTGCATATCACGTTGAAATATGCCTTTTGCAGTAAACAGCAAATTATATTACGCGATGCTGTAAATCCCAATTTCAGAGAATATGGTAGGTCGTTTGCAACTTGCCTCAGTCGCTGGCTATAAATCAAAGTCTGTCAAAGTATTTAGCGTAATGTTGACTTGATTTTAGTTAGCGACTATTCTGCATTTTCAATATTTGTACAGAGGTTAGTTCGTACGGAAATTTTCTATTTAATTCTATATAATAATACCGCACTATAGCCACCAGAAACAAATCCTCATCTTAAATCATCATCTTAAATCATGCACTTGAAGCGTGGAAGCATGCATTTGAAGTGATTGTTTACGGCGTTTTCAGTTTTTTGTCACGATCAATATTAATGTCAATATCCACCGGCTGTATCGAAATAATGGGACAGAAAATTTCTACTAAATTCAGTCTGAGAAAAACAAAGCGTTTGCTTGAACTTTATTATGCAGATGTTTTTAGTATAACTCCGGATCCTAATATTAGCTCAGTAAATTTTAAAACATTAAAACTTTGTATTAGTTGGATATTTGATTGGATTTTGTGCTATTTCTAACTTCTAGACATAATGCTTAGTGATTACTGCGGTCTAGTAATAATCACTATGGCTGCAAGATCGTTACATGTACATATACAATTAAAAATTTAAATACGTGTTTAACTTAATTAGTTTTTGTAGACAAAACATCGAAAATATTTCACCAAGACAGGGTTAAATCCTGACTTACATGTGATTCTATCAAAATAATTCTTTCTTGAGCCTGATCGGTGGCTGGTTTCGTGTTGCGACAAAATAAAGCTGACATGCATTACGTGACTAATTAAGCCCATTTTCGGTTATGTTTTCACGTCACGCAATCACGAAAAGTAACCAAACACCTATCCCTAGACATAAAATTGAAGTCTGCGTAGCAGGAGTTTAGTGCGGGAGGGAGAGTGGAGGGCGTCGTCGAGGAAACGCCTGCCCAAATGGCTATGACGAATGTGTTTTCGCCCATTAAGAATGATTGACGTTTTGTAATTAGCACCTTCACCGGTTCATCCATTATCCAATCATATTGTCGAGATTTATATTTTGCATCATGCATGTTTTTTGCTAGGCAACTAGGGAGATTTTATGCTATTTTAAACAACATAGAGCCGTTTTATCCTTTATATATAAGAAATATAAGAAATATCCGATCCCTTCTTGTATTTTATAAATCCATTTTGAAAATATTTAATATATTGAATAATGCTCATTACATTTATACGACGATATTTTGAAATTCGATTAATTCCATCACGTTTGTCAATATATACAATAATGTGCTTATAATTAGTGTTTACAACATAACCACAGGAAAATATCAACACGCTGAGGCGAATGCAACCAAGTTCAAATTTGGCAAATGTGCTACTGACTATGAGTTGATAACAACAATGAAACTAAACGTATTTCTTCTATAAATTAATAAACACGATAGTAAATTTATAGCTTAGCCTTAGCTGATGTGGTAGTATAGACCCAAATACCATAAACAAGATCTATATATAAGAATTACCTAACCTATTCAATTATTTTTAATCCGAATGACAATGTCAATGAATAATTGTTTCAATACTGCATCGGTAGAGAAAAGTACCTTTTTTCACTAAGTGCACTTTATAACGAAATTAAACACTTTGATTGTAAAAAAACATATACTGTAGTTATACGTTTATGCATGCATGCATTAGTTAAAAAAACAAGTCTTTACAATACCAATAGTTACAATAACCACCGCGATATGCCGATGGAAGAAAAATTTTTAGCGTGATAATATAAACCTTTATCGCCTTATCGGTCAATCAAATGACAAATATACAAACAAATGTAGGCCTTGATTGTAGGCCGGCTAGAATTGTACTGTACGTATAGCAAACATATATAAAAAGGTCCCATATGCAGGCGACGGGGTATAAATACAATAAGTTGATTTTTATACAATTACTTGGATTTCAAAAGTAGATGTGCAATTTTCAACTTCCCCCCCATTGGCATTGTCCATTGAGTATAAAAGTATGGAATACAAAATTAACAAGTATTGAAGCATTATTAATTATAGCATTTTGTGATTCGGTTCCCGAGGACCGACACAATTTTTCTTAAAATAACTCTTTTCATTTTTCCTCCTTCGAATATCTTCCGCGTAAATACTTGCGTGATCGGAAGAAATTGAAATTAAAATTCCAACATATTAAAAAACATATTCATTTTCGAAGAGCCTAATTGCAAACTAAGCCATTTGAGCTATGCACAAATTATGCCTGCAACGCACGAGAATTTGTAGGTTTGCAGTTGAACCGAGAAATCATGTTTGAAAACCAAGCTCCTATTTCATACAAGTAAGGAAGGGCCTTTGCTCAATTTTGTTTCTACATTTTTTAAAAATACCTTGTTTGGTACTCTTCTGATAAAAATCACACAAAAAAAGAAAGTAATATAAAAGGATGGTTTAACTATGTGACGGATTGTAAACGCTTTCCAGATCATCTGATCTATTCGTTCCGAAAACTGGCCGCCGCTGGAGTTTGAGCCCGCGAATACCTGGTGTGACACCAATCCTTTAAAAATGGTATTTCAAGGACACTATAACAACCTCTATAATCATGCCGACCCAAATTATGCGTGAGAGATATGGAAAAATATTTTTCTTCATATTGCAAATATGCATGACGGGCATGCTCCACTTCGGATTCGGGAAGTGAGCGCTGTCCTTGGATGACAAACGAAATAAAAACCTTGCGGATCATAACTTCTACTTAAAACAAAAAAATTTTACTTCTCTAATTACCACGAAGCTTATAAGGGTTGTAGAAATAAACTTAACAAAAGAAAACTTAACAAAACAACACTAAACGACAAAACAGTGAAAATAGTAAAGTAGGTTCAAATACATTAAATAATCGGCTTAACAGGAAATCCAAAGCTACAGTTGTTAATGGACTTTATAACAAACGTACTTGCAGGGAGGTGAGTCCGGGATTGGACGAACCGAGGGTGGCTGGAAGTTTCCCGAACTTACCGAGCGAAGCGAGGTGAGTTCGGGAAACTTCCAGCCACCCGAGGTGCGTCCAATCCCGGACTCACCGAACCTGCAAGTACGTTTGGTTTTTATCCCATACACCGAGCCATACACACATTTGTAGCTCTTCGCGATATATTCGTCGATGTTTTGTGAACATTTTCCCGGCCAAAAAAATCACTGGGAAGAAAATACTTCTTTATCTACGTCTACATTACCTTTGCTGCATTTTTTCTTTGGTTTTTCTTCAGTCTCAGTATGTTAGTCACCGAAAAAAGTTCTTTAAAGTTTAGGTTTATCGGCTATTAAATCTTGTCCGCCATATTTGTTATTGTTATTGCAACGTAAGCAGTTTAGCGGGTGAGTTCGGGCGAAAAGCAGGTGAGTTCGGCAAAAAGCAGGTGAGCTCGACGACAAGCTCACCTGCTCTAAACCAATCAGAAAGCCGCTTTTAACACAGTTATGGGGTAATAGTGTGGACGTGAAAAAGTGTAACGCGAGATTCACTTCTGTAGGTTCCAAATTAGCAAATAACATTGCTGACAATGGCACTAGTCCTAGCTGATCCTTTCTCATATAATAAATCAAGTCACAAATGTATTCCACTTTCACATCATATCAAGTTATGATCTGAAAGGAGAAGTACAAAATATGCAAATGTAGAATCTACAGGTCTAGATAAAATCTCAACTAAGCTAATAAAGCAGACGGGCGATACAATAAGTGAATCACTTAAAGAAGTGTTTAACCTCCGTTTTAGAACAGGAATATTTCCAGATGATTGGAAATTTGCCAACGTGACTCTAATATATAAGTCAGAAGACAAAACCTTATGTGAAAACTATATAGACCGATAGCAGAGAACTAAATACTTTCCTGCATAAATCAATCAGGTTTCCGTTGAAATCACTCAACTGAAACCTCGTTACTACAATCTACTGAAATGTGGTTGAAATACGTTTTAAATTTAGCTTCTATTCTGTTATTTGTTATTATTTTGGTGCCGTTGTGCTCGCACTGATATTTATTTATCAACAAGATGCTCTGTGGACTCGTTGGGGCTATACAAATACGCACATCACTGTATACAATACCAGGTACAGTACACAGCTATTTCAATTAAGATCTAAGCCTGGCCACGAGCTAAGCGGAAAAGTCGAATACGAGAGCGAAAGCTTAACACACAAAAATGCGGTACCCTACACATAAAACTTCCGGCGTTTATGCCCACAAGTAAAGTTATATTATATTTTATAGTACGCTACATTCTTCTGTCGCCGCCAGTTTAAAACGTCCAAACTAAAATATTTTGGGGCTTTTGGGCTCAAAATATTCTCAAAATGAAGAGAGAAGTGAGACGAATCCACTGGTATACGGCCGAAAAAGAAAAAAAACAACGATACCAAAGTTGTCAAGGATTAACCAAACGTACTGCATTTTTGTGGCTAGCCCGTTCGCGGGCTAGCCATTATGTAAACGCTAAAGCTGTAAGAGTTGTGACGGAAAGAGTTGTGTAAGAGTTGTGACGACTTTACTTCGGAAACTGTCGTCATTCATTCCTTATTGCCATGAGGCGACGTCTAGAAAGTTTATGTTTATGACATTTTACTTGGGAATAAAACATCAATATTTTATCACAAATACAGGTAAGCCAATTATTTTCCATCTCTAGTCATTTGTTGTTGAAAATTTTGATTCATAATACTAAAAACATCGCAATTTTGGTCTGCTCTGGTCAAAAATATTTGATCAGGCTCCATATTTTTGCACACATTCAAAAAGTTGAACGAAGCCATTGTTGCTTTCACTGATCTTAGATCAGGCGCTCACGAGAGGTCCACGTATCAAATAGAAGCTATAATAGAAACTGATATATAAAATCAAATCAAACTTGCCATTGTGCAGTTAAACAAAACCAACCTTGCCATATTTGTGCAGGTATATAGTAAAGAGCAAACCCAGTTTGGGGATTCTTATGCTACAAACTGATCTGTGAATTAGCAGGTGAACGATTTACAAACCACAACACAACACAACATTGACTGTTGAATTTGACTGAAAAATATGAGTGTAGCGATTGAGATCAATCGTTCAAGAATTGGTTCACACCATAAATTTACACAAGGAATTTACATTCTGGAATCAAATGTTGATGATGTTCTGTTCAAAAGTATTTTACTTGCCATGTCTTAAAAATCTAGTGACTAAAACAGAAAAATATAATGAAGTGTGCATGTGGTATGCGCAGATGCTATGTTATTATCATGTTCATGTACCATTGCTATTAAGACTTTCAAAGAAATATTAATGAAATATTTGACCGTACTTATACAGTTCATGCCGACTTTCACCAAGGTGATCAATTAACGTTTTATTAATTAGATCTAATGCTGGAAAACAATGTGTTGCCATGTCAGTATGTTCCATTGTTTATAATGAAATTAAGTCAGTTAATATTTGAGACACATCCACTATGAACCAGATTTTAGTTTATGGCAACAATTTATATATTGTACATGCAAGCGAGGTTCACCTCACATTCACATGCTAATATGGCTTGCGAGTAGAGAAACATACTGTAGCGTATTGCTTTGGCTTTTGGGAACTAACTGCAGAACTAATGCAGAACTAATGACATTTGACTAAAAGGAAACAATATGGTATGTTACAATATGGCTAAAGTGGAGAACAGGCCATAGAATATAACATATTTCCAGTAGAGTAATATTACTTTTTTAAATATTGTAGATGGAACAACAACTCAAAATAATAATCGGTAAAACTAACTATCTCTACCACCATTTAATTCCACCTGGCGAATCATGCTAGACTGTTTACTATATACTCTACATCACTGTGAAGATGTTACTGGTTGAAGGAATATTTTACCTGTCTCATTTGTAAATAAGGAAAAGTCTGACCTTTAAATTGACACAACTGGATGATATGCTGTATGGAAATATTCTAATGGTTGGTCAACTGATAATGTATCAAGTGGTGTCTACTATTGGATAATGCTGAAAAGTAAATATTGGAAAATGAAACTGTATAAATAAACAAGATTTCCATCTGTCAGTGACCAATTAATTATTTCAGATCAGGAGCAAAAGCTGTAGTGTATGGAAGACCACGGAAGTTGAAAATTCACAAGGAATCTTATGCACCTTTAAAGGTGCACATATTTCAGGACGCTTTTCAATTAATAACAGAAGATGTATTCATCACAATTTTGGACATATGAACTAACACCTACTATCCTGAAATGAATGATGAATGTACTGTATCCCAAGTAGAAAGAATAAATGACATTGCGTTACATTAATACCTTGTTAATACCAAGGTATTGAACTTTTGAGGGCAATGGAAATGCTAAGAAAGCTATAATTTAAGCTACTATTTTTAAGAATTAGTATAATATTTTTAATAAAAGTCTCAAGCGCTAGTGCAGCAACAAAACGACGGAAACATGTCTGCAACCTACTTTTCTCACCATAGAGCGCTACGAAATCTGCCATCCCTACTCCTCTGCGGAGGAGAGTGCAGATACTACCTAAAGCAAAAACGTTTTGGGATCAGTCTTTTCTTTCCCTTTACTCAACTGCTCAAATCATACGCTTCATAATATACGGACTATTTGAATCGTGAGCATTCTACATCATTAACAACACATGACTACCAGCACGTTGCAACACAATGTCCGATTGAATGGATTGACAAATGTCCTCAAATAGATGACATCAGTCAACTTAAGAGAACTATAATCTTATAAATACTAATCCACTAACACCGTACGCAAATGCATGTGCGCTTTAGCGTACCTATTTAAATCCCAAAGGCTAGCCACATGTACGCAGTGCGTACCTATTTTTTATAATGTACGAGTCAAATCCAACCGCAATTAGCCCCCCCCCCCCGGAAACCCCAGTGGAATTTGACTTTTGAAAAAATAATTGGTCAAATGCCCGCCCGAACAGGCAGAAACCACAGTCAAATGCCCTGCTATAGAGGTAGTCCTGGTTCTGGAATTTTGGCTAAAATTAAATTTAACAACTATTTCAAGATTAAAAAGAACGAAAAATAGGCCAGTCAGTTCTTTTTGTTTAAACTATCGAAAAGACGCAAAATAGAAAACTTGTGAAGCGCTAGAATGCACACATATTTTCAGGGAAAACCGCTGAGCAAGTTGTCAAGTGGTCAAATGCCCGACCGGGCCGTCAAATTCCCGCCTATACGGGGGTAATGTTAGGTCAAATGCCCCGCGGTTTCCCGGGGGGGGCTGATCGCGGTTGGATTTGACTCGTACATAATTTGAGCGATTTGTCAACAATTAAATAATACAATTTCGCTTGACTTTCAAAGACAAAGGCCATAAATCGCAAGAATACTGGGGAGTATCGAGACTGGTCTGAATGCTCCCCAGTCTGAGGTATCTCCTGATATAATTTTTTAAAAGAGATAACTCTGCCCCTGAGGAGCATTCAGACCAGTCTCGATACTCCCCAGTCTGAGTTCTCATAAAAATTATAACAGGAAATGCCCCAGACTGGGGAGCATTCAGACCAGTCTCGATACTCCCCAGTCTGAATTAACTCATTTTAAAAATTATAACAGGAGATACCCCAGACTGGGGAGCATTCAGACCAGTCTCGATGCTCCCCAGTCTGAATTATCTCATTTAAAAAATTATAACAGGAGATGCGATTGGTCTGAATTCCTGTCAGACTGGTCTAATTGCTCCCAGTCTCCAGCATCTCTTGTTACTTTTAAATGAAAACTCAGACTGGGGAGTATCGAGACTGGTGTAAATGCTCCTCAGTCTGGGGTACAGGTACTATACAAAATTCAAGAAGAACAAGGCAAAATTTCATTGATTCTATTTATCAATTTCATTGTGATCTGTGAATTTACTTTAATTACTACATATTTTATCTACACTCTTATTTACAATTATACTGATTAACAAACTATTTACAGTTCATACAATGGAATAAAGTTTTGTCAGTGACAGTTCGTGGGACCTTGTCACAAGATCGGTGAAACCATTCCAAACAAACAGAGCATTCAATCATGAAATCACCATTTTTGAATGGCATTCTGCAATGGCAGAATACTGTACCTCAATAGTTTCTTCCTTTTTATCATTATTCACACATTTTGATGATGATGCTGGGAATACAGCCAATTCTTCGCAGTGGAAGCAAACAGCCAAATGTCCTCTCATGACACTGTGGTCATAGCTCTTGGAACCTGGGTCTTCTCCGTTGAGAAGACTAGTTGCAACTGCCACAAAAAAGGCCACAATCGGATTCACCTCTTTGTCTTTGCATTGATGGCCACTCAATGACCATATTTGATGAGCTGGTGTTGAGCAGCTCTGCTAAGCATGAACAAAATTTTGTTTCTCTTTCTTTGAAAGTTTTTGACGAAGAGAATCGAAGACTTTAACCAGTGATTTCCTCCAACATGTAGTATTTGAACAAAGTCTTTGTCACCTTTCTGGACTTTAGGGGGTTTGCTTTCCAAGGCCAAAACTGAATGTAGCCCTTTTGAGTCTGGGAATTGTTTTGACAATAACCATTGTGCATGGTCAATATGTTCATCGGTAAGCCAGTAGTCTTCTTCCATTATGGTTAATACCAACTCTTCAGGATTTCCATTTGCTGTGCATTTCCACACACCATTGGGTTTGCGACCTCTTTTAACTTTTTTGCTGTTACCCTTTGCTGGGGCAGCAGTGTTGCTGATATCGTTAAAGGGATCATCCTTATCATCCTTAAAGGGAACAAGGGTTGCCCTTTGCATGTTGTCAATTTCTGTGACCCTTAAACAGTGATAAAAGTAGTTAATTTCCTGAATGAAATTACTCAGCCTCACTGTGAGTGACTTAAGATACGGTAACTATTTTGGGGTTAGGAAGCTTTCAGTGATGATGCATGATATATCATTTAGGGCGTGACACATGATTAAAGGTAAGAAACTGGATTTCTATTCTGTTGCTAATCCCAGTCCTTTTGCTCACCGTCAGATCACCTGGAGGGAAGGGTCTTGCATTATAATGGTTAATTTATTTTAGTACCTATATGGGCACATCCAACCAGGTTCCATCTTTCCACCTTTCCTGGATACGTTTTTCATCTGTCGTTTATAAACTGTGTCACCAACTTTAATTTCAAAAGTTTTCACTCCCTTCGCCTTTCTCTTTTCATACTGTATTTTCTGTTTTTCTTGAGCGAGTTCGACATTGCTCAGAACCTACACAAAAGGTACAACAATTGTAAATAAATGTATTTTTACCATTGTGCACTAAAGGGCTAATTCTTCTAATTGTACATACTTGCTGGCGAGTGGCTTCAGATTTTGCTATCCTTTCACCAGTTTCGTGGTCCAGCAGGTCTTCTGTTCTTTCAGGAGCAGATGAATTACCCTCCACAACTGTAATCTATAAGCAATTACAATTTTGCATGAGTACAAAACATGTTGCACCATTTATAAAAAGGGTGTTATTTTACACTAGCTGAGGAAAAAAGAGAGGCTAAATATCTTTATCTCTCTGAAACGGTAGCGTGTGTACAGCCGTAAATTCGTTTTAATACGGCAATGCCAGCTAAGTATTGTTTGCACTTTTTGTTTTATTTAATTGTTATTACATGAAGTGAATGAACTTCATTTAGATGTTGTCAAAATAACTTTCGGCAGACCGCAGAGTCTCCTAACTTTTAAAAGGTGCCAATTTAAAAGCAAAACAAAAATGAATGTAGGGCGCCTACTATTCAATTAAGTTATTCAAGTATGAAACATATACAGTTATAATGTATTATATTTTAAATACCATTTGAGCTGAATTTGGATTTCAATCAAACATCAAATAAAATATAGTGTGTATTTTGTCGAAGCTTGCTTCTGCGTTCTAATGGAATAAGCAACTTTATCCAGAAAGTCACACCAATTATTCTGATGCTCATTCACAAGTTTAGATAAACTTTGCTTCAATGTTTGGTTTGTTCTTTCGTCCAAGCCATTTGTTTGAGGATGATAGGCATTGGTCACTGATTGTTTGATGCCAAATTCTCTGCAGACTTCATCATTCACTTTTGCTACAAATTCTCTCCCCTGGCCCGACAGCAGCGGTGCAGGTGCACCCCACATAAAGATAATGAAAAAACCCAAATTCTTGCTAGATGTAATTTTCATATTTTCACACCCTTTAGTACACAGAAGAAGTTAATTCGCTGACCTCAGAATGACATTTCGTCAAACATGTTTTCTTCAAGATTGGTTTAGAATCAAACTTGGAGTAGGATAAGGTTAGAGTTAATGTTTGGAATAGAGTTGGTGTTCGTAAACCGTTGCTTTGTCGTTACGTTTTGTCACTCTGAGCCAGCCAAATAACCTCTTCCTTAGTACACAATAGTTCACAACCCAATCAATAGTAAATTGTTCCATAAGTTTCCTGCACGTAAATTTCTTTATGCATTTTGCAACACCATCTGCAGCTTTGCTTTTGATGGGAAAAAAATCCACAAATTTTGTATAATGGTCTCTGAAGGTGCATACATACTTGTAACCTTCTGCAGTTGTTGGCAGTGGCCCTTGAAAGCATAATGAAACATTTTAATTAATGAGGCATTACTGGATAATGGAAGAAACTAAGCTACACTGTATAAAAAAGAATTTCATTTTAACTCCTGCTTGTACTCACCAATCAAATCTATTCCAACTAACTCCAATGCCTCATTCACTTTTATCGGGATAAGCTCTAGCGCTTGTGTTTTTAGCTTGCTATAAATCTGGAATTGATGACATGATGTGATCTATATTAGAAATATCCACTGTTTAGTAAAAGCACGCCTGTAATTTCTTAGAACGATTATCTCCTGACAAGTAATATGGATTAATACTTAACAATTATTCGCCGAAGGCGAGGTGATTATCGGTGAATAAAAACCGAGACGAAGTCGAGGTTTTTATTCACGATAATCACCGAGCCTGAGGCGAATAATTGTTTTAGTATAATTTCATAGGTGATTATTTGGAAAAATAAGAAAATACACATTTCTTCGTCATTTAATTGACAAAAAGGCTTCGGCCGCCATTTTAAAAATCGCTTAGGTGATTATCGCGTGATAATCACCTCAACGGCAACCAATCAGCGTGGAGAATTTTCAATAATCACCTATGTAATTATACTAAATTTTGTTATTGCAACCCATTAACTAATAGTATTTCTATAAACTTACATATTCTTGGACATCTTCTTTCATGCCATTCCAACAATAATAGTTGGAAATTTTATTAAGAGTGGCATTCACACCACTATGGCCTCCCATACTGTAGCTTCGCTATGATGATGATGAAGAATCTCCCTAATTTCTTCTATGGTAAGGACAACCTTTCTGCGGATTCCTTCCTTTCCGCCAGTGTAATACAGCTCATTATCTAGAAAGTACCGAAATTACTTACTAATAAAAGAGCTAATGAAAAGTTATATTTGTGATGTTACTCTGAGTGTATGTCCACACCGGGCAAGCTTGAAAAATATGCCCGGCCACGGTGGGAATCGAAGCCACGGTGGGAATCGAAACCTACGACCTTTGTAATACTAGCCCATATCAATACTAGCCCGACCTTTGGAATACTAGCCCAATCGAACCGTCGTGACCGCGTAGCTCAGTCGGCAGAGCATTGAGCTAGTATTCCAAAGGTCGTAGGTTCGATTCCCACCGTGGCCGGGCATATTTTTCAAGCTCGCTCGGTGTGGATATACACTCAGAGTAACATCACAAATATCATATTTACCTGAGTACACAACACCAACACAGAAAAAAAAATGAAAAGTTGTAAGAGCACTGACTAGTGCGTTGCAGTCACACTGCTTCGAAATGTGTTGCTGGAATTGTGACAAGTATATGATTCTACTTTATGTAACCATTGCTACAACAAGACTTAATTGCTGATTGTAATATTTATGCACTTTGGAATTTCACCTACAACATATTTTGCAACAATATTGCATGACAAGTTACACAGTGTAATAGCATTTCTACACTGTATCGTTCCATGTTTCATTGCTCAGAGAATCGCATGCCAAGTTGAAACAATTTTTTCCAACATGAAACTATATGCATTGGGTATGGTTAAAACTTCCAGATTTGTTTAGCATTTTATTTTTGTATTTCAAAAAATTTCCCCAGTCACTCTGTATTAAATAATGTTTTATATGAAATGCCAAACATGTGATATCTGCATAAATTTTGGCTGCAACATCTAGGAATTGTAGCTGTAATATCTGAGATTTATTTCCTTTTACATATGAAAATTACCACTGCCACCTGATATATGCAAAAGTCAAGTCATCTGTCATGCAAACAAACGTGCATCTCACGCTGGCAAGAGGTGAATAAAATGGTCGTGAGCGTTGCATAAGACAGACTAGAGAATAATATTAAGATAATTATTATAAAATACATTACTTGTTTCATCAAAAATATAGTTTTTTGCTGGGCCACGAATTACTCGTTGGTTTTTTTGTCAAACCATCTCGATGTTCCCATGTCGCAGGTAGTGGACAATTCGCTCGACTTTTTCTATATGTCAAATTCGCCTCAACGGCAGGTTCTTGCTTTGGAACCATTTTAAAGGTTTGAGACAACAAATTCACTCAAAATTTTGGAACGATTGTGTGTTTGTGCAGTAGCGACAGTCAGCGAGAGAAAGGCGATAACTCGGATCACGCCGAAATGTTGTTATGCAAAACCGCTGACGCGCGCATGCGCATAGTCATAGAGGAGTACTGTGACCGGGGGAGTATTGAGACTGCTACACCGTCCCTTGCAACTACAGATGAACAGTCGCGAAAAGTTTGTTATTTTGACATAATAGCTATTTTTCAATAAATATATTGATATTAAACTTATTGAATCAATATGTTAAGCTTCAGGCCAGTTGTACCAAAATTTATAAGCGCTTGCGGACCATAAAGGCGGATTTTCACTTAGTGCAAAATGTCGTGCGGTCGACATTTTGCGATTACTTTCTTTTGAAATACAAGCAATCAAACGCAACGGATCAGGTTGACTGAACGCGTTTGAAAAGAAAGTGATCGCGAAAAGTTGATCTTGCGATATCTTGCACTGAATGGAAATCGGCCTGAATACAACTCTCTCCTCCACAGAGGCTTTAGTCACAGAATAGATACCAGATCAGAAGGGACACTCCTATGTGATTTGGCTTGGGAAAAACGTCCGAAATTTTTTACGTGTTATGCCATCTTGGAGTGCACACGGCACTTTGTACCTATGTTTGTCCTATGAAAAACTTCTGTGTGCACTCAAGGATGGCGTCATATGATGGCGTCATATGATGGCGTATTTTTACGTCAGCACTCGTAAAATTTCGGACAAAATATTGTCTGAGTGAGTGACACTTCTGGTCCAGTATCCATTCTGTGCGTTAGTTGTCATATGATTTATCACGATGAGATACATTTCACTACACTTTACATGATGGATCTTGGAACACAGGCGGAGCCACTGGGCGGTTGGAAAAGGGTGAAGGAAAGGAAAGGAAAAAGCCTCTGTGGAGGAAAGAGGGCATGCAACATATACGCACTGCGTACCTATTTTTTAATCTTATTTACACATCTAGACACTGGAGATAAAGTCCCCTCTTCTTCGTCCTCAAAAGGTTCAACCAAGTTCTGGAGGAGGCTCCTCATTTGCTCCCAGTACCGGTAGTGTAATTGTTATAATGTAAGTACTACCTTCTAATTGTCTAATATGTCGTAGTACCAAATCCATGGCTGATGTTGATCTTACACATATAGAAAGTTTGAATCGGTCATTACTATTTACAAATACAGCAGTGGAACCTTGTGGTTGCAATAGGTCACCAATGAGACTGCTGTTATTTGTGGAACGACCTCAAAGAGAACAGTAACAATTTCAGTAAATTGCATCAATTTTTCAGTTTAAAATTTTTAAATCTGTACTTTATGTTGCTCATTTGTCATTTGCATGGACCAATTGTCTACTGAAACTGCATGGACCTTTTGTCCACTGAAAAGCCAAGTAAAGTTAGCATTGATAACGTCAGTAATTTCCTCCGTAAAGAGTTTTGTGCCCAATCCCAAACATACATGACAAGGGTTTGAAACATTGGAAAGAGTCAAACTTTTACTCCTGTAATGGAATACAACGAACATGCAACTAGTTTAAAAATATAGGTGCATCCAAGTACAGTATGTTAGACACTATGTCCTCTCCCCCGCATGCAGAAGCTTTTAAAGCTACAGGGCTGGAAAGTATAGTATGGAGTGTGAAGATCAATGATGTGGTGAAGATAAAGGTACCTTTAGCGCAATTACGAAAGGAGTGACTTCCCTCGACTTATTACTCTTGTTGGCTTAGTGCCACCCAGGCACTAAGCCAACAAGAGTAATAGTGGCGGGTGACTCCATGGTTAAACATGTCAACGGTTATAAGATGTCAACGAAAAGCACAAAAATTCAAGTATCTGCCTTCCCCAGAAGTACCACGTTAGATATGTCAGATTATATAAAACCGATATTAAGAAAGAAACCCGATAAGCTTATTATCCATGTCGGCACAAATTGCCTGAAAAGTCGTGAAAACTCGGAGCGCTGTGCGGAAGAGATTATTAAATTGGGCGAATCAGTAAAAAAATGCATACCAGAGACGGAGGTGGCAATCTCGAGCTTAATAACACGATCTGATGACGAGTTTCTAACACGCAAAGTCAGCGATGTTAATAAAGTCCTCAAACAAACCTGCATTCAGAAACATTGGAAATATATCGATCACACGAACATCACACCCGAGGATTTAAACCAAAGCAGAATCCATCTAAATAAAGTGGGAACAATCAAGATGGCACGCAATTTTACTGATTTTATTTATAATAGGAAACATTAGGACAACGCCGTGTGGGAGCCTGTAGCTAATACTGAAATACAGCCAAGTATAGATGACCAATCGTCGATAACCTTGGGTGAGTCAAACGAATCAAATTACTCAAATATCTCATTATATAATTTAGAAAAAATAC